TTCTCCAGGACCATCAAAGAGAATCTGTGATACTTGTCATCATTTTAGAATCTTATATCTAAAATGTAGCATCCAGACAATTGTTCATTCATTGTATTTTATGAGCCATAAGGAAAATGTTCATTTAAAGGGGTATTTCTTTTCAACTATTATTCCCCCCATTCATGTTGAATTTGAATAGATACTATATTGCTTTCAGAAATACTGGAAAAGCCAAGTATAGAGGCTCTCTCCTGCAATCCCAGCACTAGAGAGCTCAACAGAGGACGATGGCTGTGAGTCAGAGTCCAAGCTGAGCTGTCTTGTGAATTCCAGTTCAAGCACAACTGCAAAGGCAGGACTCTGTCTCAAAGAAACAAACACAATCCAGAGAAAATTAGGAGCGATAGGAGATGATGATCTAAGCTGGTTTACTCACTTGCCACATGATGTGTATGAAATTTAACTCTGCCCTATATCACCATCACTCTGCAGCTTTGTCTCTCCGTCACTGACAGTCCTGTACCTTTCAGATGTTCGCATGCCTGCCGGCTGATTCATTAGTGTCCTGACATTTTCAGTGTGATGTTATGGAAGTTTGATATCTCCACTGCCATGGGATCATCGTTTAACATTCCTTTATGATGCGCACGTGTATAATATAAAGTAAATCACATGCTTTGGAAAACTCTCTAAGTTTGGGGGATAATAAAGGAAGCAGGCAGACCACAGCAATTACCAATGTGTGGGCTTATCAGCTATTAAATGTGCCTAAACATACAACCGGAATCACTATCTGCCTAGTCTTCTGCCTGCTTGATAGATGAATAAAATAAAGGTGCTAGCCAGGCATGGTGTTGCACAACTTAATCCCAGCACTTGGAGGGAGAGGCAGGCAGATCCCTGTGAGTTCATTGCCAGCCTGGTCTACATAATGAGCTCCAGGCCAGCCAGTGCTACAAAAATAGAAAATAGATGGTAATTATAGGATATCCAAATAACTAATAGTGCAGCGTCTCATAAGAGTTGAGTGGATTCAAGCATTAAACTCTCTGTAGATGTCCTTTATAAAACCTGGCCAAATGTAAAAAGGAACCAAAAAACAATCTAAAGGAGGCAGCTACTTGATAAATGGTATACCAGTTGGCTTTCTCCACGTGGTGACAGAATGACAGAGAGGGACTTGGGACCACGTATAACTTTCAAAAGCTAGCTCCTGGTTACTCACCTCCTCCCAACAGGCCCCACATTCTGAAGCTTTCAGAACCTCTCCAAACCTCTCCGATGGGGACCAAGTGTTCAAAGCATGAGTCTACAAAGACATTTCAGATTCAATGCATAATAAAATGTGGCCTCTCCTGCTTGCACTTTGTTTTTTTGTTTTGTTTTTTTGCTTGTTTCCTTTTTGTTCTAATCTTCACAGCTATTGGAGCAGAAAAAGAGGTTAACAAGAACGAGGTGGTGAGACTCAGCTCACTGCCTCAAGAGAGCTGGGAAATGATGGCCAAGTGTTTGAAGCCAGAGAGCAGCAGAACTACTCAGGTTCACAGCTGTAGAATGAACTGTGGCCACATCCCCTGCTGACCGCCAGGCTACTCACTCATGGGCAATGCCCTGGCCAGATGGCCAACAACTCAAACACTGCTCCGGACACACATCAGAGAGGATCTAGGTTTAGGAGACTCATACATTTGCTTTGTTGTGTGTGTGCAAGTGGGCAGCAGAGTACAGGCAGCTCCAAGCTGAAGTCTTACTCGGCGGAAGTATCAGGGCATCCGCTGGAAGTGGGAGCACAGCTAGAAAGCTGGGCAGGGAACTGTAAAAACAAGAAGACACAGAAACCAACTGAATCCCGAAAGCTGGATTTAGTTTGTGCTCAAATATTCAGTCGATCACAAATCTACTCCAATGCAGGAAAGAGACCCTGGAGGTGCAGGGAGTCATATGCAAAAATAACAGAAGCTGGACTAGGGAGGGTAAACAAGAAGAAAAGTCACCGGAGAGATCAGCGGTTGCAGAAAAAACGCACAGTGTGAGTCCAGACAAGTAAATTGTCTACAAGACTAAAGCCCAGTAGACATCAGAGGGAGCATCGGAATTCAGAGTTGCTGCCATGGAGCACCAGCAATACCCAGTTTTCACTGTAACTTATTAGACATGTCAAGAGAAAGGACCAGCAGAAAACTGAAATGGCTGGTTTCGTATCGTGCTTTATAAAATTATTACCAAAGACAGAGGCACTTCGTAACGGTAGAAGATAGAACCATCACGAGTGTACGTATGCCTAATTAAGGAGCAATAAAACATGTGAAACAAAAACTTGAGCAACTAAAGGAAGAAGCAGTACTAAACAATTGCAGAGCATGCCATCTCTTCAAGACCACATGGAACATTCCTCCTGAAGGTCGTTATTTCCGACTGCTAAAGATAAATTCTTAACAGATTTAAATGAATGAAATCTTACAGCTGAGTTTTCTGATCTCAGAAACACTGGAAATAAGATACAGAAAGAAACAGTAACTATGGAGAAACTTAAAAATATATGTCTAAGCATATAAGTTAGACAGGAAATCATACGGAAAAATTAATCTAAATCAGGTAGATAGCGTAACCTTTCTTGTATGTAGTTGGCTCCTCTGTGATCACCTCAAGGCTTCTTCAAATGAACACATGTAGAAAGAGCCATGCCCCCAGGGGACACAGGGTTTCACTAATAGGAACTTGTCTCAGAAAGTCTGATCTCGCTGCCACCCATATTAAGTGTGCAGGCCATCAACAGCAACAGTTAAATTTCAATTCCCGTAAACTGTATTTCTTATGAGACCAACCAGTCACCTGGTGACTTCGTGTCATAATCTAATGTCGTGGAGGGCACAGCTATTCATCCTGGCAGAATAGGTCAGATTCTGGGTGCACATTTCCCTCCTGGTTCACAGCCCTTCGGTGATTATTACCATTATTTATAGACTTAAACAACGGCTATTAGATTGCTTTGCTCGCTCAAATAAATACCTTCGCCCAGAAGACCCATCTTAAATAAAAGGAAGTATGAAAAGTGACTGTAACTTGGAATTCAGTGATCTTGACACAGGGTTTCATTGCCTGTAGTCACTGATGGTATTGAATGGTCTGCAGAAGGCAGATACAATGCGAGTTGGGAGACAACAGAAGAGATATTGAAATACTTCAGAACCATGGCTTTCAACCTTCCTAATGCTGTGACCCTTTAATGCAGTTGTCCATGCTGTGGTGACCCCTCAACCATAACATTATTTCATTGCTACTTCATAACTGTAATTTTGCTACTGCTATGAGTCAAAATGTAAACATCCCACGTGCGTGCGGGATCTCTGATATGTGACCCCTGAGAATCACTGCTAAAGACTCTAGCATAGAACTCAGGAGACTGTGCCATCTGCCTGTGGAGGCAATGCAGATGCCCAGTGTGCTGGTGTTTTGTTGTTTGTGTCCGTTTTTTTGTCTACTTGGCACAAGTTAGAGTCAGCTGGAAAGAAGACCCTCAGCTGAGAAAAAAAACACCTTCCTCCTTAGCCTGTGGGCAAGTCAGTGGGGCATTTATTTCCTTGACCAATGATTGGTGCAGGAAGGCCACCCCTCAGCAGGTGGTCCTGGCTTGTGTAATAACGCAGGCAGGTGAGCAAACTGTGGAAATCCAGGCAGTAAGCAGCACTCCTCCTTGGTCTCTGCTTCATTTGGGTCCTGCCTCTAGGTTCCTGCTTTGAGTTCCTGCATGACTTCCCTTCCTGACAGCCTGAGCTGTGAGATAAAATAAACCCCTTTCTCCCCAAGTTGCCTTTGATCCTGATGGTTTACCTCTGTAATAAAAAACAACCCCAGGAACAAGATGATGGTCTTCTCATTATCGCATCAAATAATTTGCTTACGGAATTTCCTCTTTTGGCCCTACAGATTTGTACCCAGTTACGGAAAGTGTAGATATTACTGGATAATTTCTGTTGGTACCTCTTATTAATGCAACTTGCAACCAGAGTATTTAAATGATAATAACCAGACAATACAACTTCACAATGACCAAAATTAAAATTTTGTATTATATGCCCACCTCAAAATATTCATTTAAGTCCTGGCTTAGACAGGCAAGCTGATATGGAATTGGAAGCAATGAAAAAAGGCCACAGAAAATGCATTATAGTGAGAATCCTGGTAAAGCCAGTGTGCAAAGCTAATGTTGCTTTCTCTTAGACACGCACATTATTATTTTTTTCCTTCCTTGAGTCATTGCCTACGTTTCCCTGTGTTGCACTTCAGGGATTATTCTACCCCAGCGTACATATTTTTCTCCCATCTCCAGTTATGTCTCCCAGGGGCTTTGGCATTTAAGCAGAAAGCTTTGGAAGATTGAAGCCCATTCAGAAGCAAGAGAACCAGCCTTCTACACAAACGCTTCCGCAAAAAGGCGAGATGTTTCTTCGGAATACATTTTCCCCGTGTGCCCACCTGATGGAATAAAAAAACGTTGGCTTCCCAAATGGGTCAGCCATCCTGTTCTGGCGACTGGGGGGGGGGGCGACCCTGCTTTTCCCTGGTTGCCCATCAGTTGGCGCCTTTTTGCCTTCCCCCTCCAACCCCCACCCCCGATGCAGCTTTGGGGGCTGCAGTCGCTCCGCAGCTCTCAGGTCACATGGCCTGGCAGAACGAGGGGAGCCCTGCGCGGGAGCGGCTAAAGGCGGAGGCAGGCGAGGCTTCTGCTGCTCCGGCCCGGCGGGATTCTGCCAAGGCACCTCCACTGAAATCGGCCAGCCCGGGCCACGGCGGCGGCGGCCTTGGCCAGTCAGAACGCTGCTGACGGCCTCCACCGGGTAGGTTTTCCGTCCGGCGGGCGTCGCGGGGACGCAATGTAGGAGCGGCAGCGACAGGCGCTGGGAGCGGTGCCCGGGAGGGAGGCCTGCGTCCCCGCTGTGCGCCCGCCCGCCCGCCCGCCCGCCCGCCCGGCAGGCTGGCTCGGCCGCGGCCCCGCCCTCGGTGCGTCTGCGGCACAGGGCGGGTGCGGCTGGCTGTCCCGCGGTGGCCCGCCCGGCCGGGCTGTCACCGGGCCGAGGGATGCAGCCCCCCTAGCCCCGCAGTGCCGGGCGGCGCGGACAGCCCGAGCGCGGCCGCCTAATGGCTGCCCCGGAGCGGGGGGCCCCTCCGCGCGTCCTCGGTGGGGCGCGTCCTCCTGCGAAGGTGACCCGACGGAGGCGCCCCTCCCCGCCCCCGGAAACGCCAGCGATTTGGAACGCCACTCGATGGGATTCGGGCAGTCTGGGCCTGCAGGTGGGGAAACTGAGGCCGGAGGGCAGCGGGGACTCCCCCAAGGTCGGCGGCCAGCCCGCTGGATGCCAGGCTTCGGGTCCTCTCTCCATATCCCCATCCCCTTCCCCCCAGGAGCTGGCTAGGATGGATGGGTGTGTCTCGCGGGGGCTCTCGTGCCCAGGCGGCTCCCGTGCCGCACTGCGCTCTCCCGCGGAGACGTCGTGGGGCCTGAACCACCCCAGGTCGCTGTGACCTGGCCTCTCCCGCTCGGCCCCTGCTGCCTCCCTTTGGGACCACAGAGTCCCCTCAATGATCTCATTATGCGGACTCTCAGCAAATCAGCAGGTGCGTGTGCCTGAGAGTGCACGCGTGTTTCCCCAAGAGAAAGAAACCACGTAAAGGAGGGGCGGATTTCCAGAGGGTCCTTATGCCCCACATAGGTTATGAGGTCTCAGAAGAGCAAGCAAGGTGTGTCCAGCTCTTAACGTGAGAATCAAAAAAATAATAATAATAAATCAAAATAAAATAAAACTGCATCTTCTAGATTGATGAGATTCTGATTATTTAAAATATTTTTTACGTTTGAAGTCATATTAATAATGTAGAATAATGGTATGTAGTTTTAATTTGCTTTACCCATAGGAATCAATATTTAATTTCCAGTTATTAGTCTTTTGCATTTATGTGGATGCTATATTAATTCTCTTCCCCATATTTTAATTGAAGTAAATTTATTGTAGTTTTCCTAGTTATAATCTGAAACACTCTTTAAAATACTTCAATTAATTTTTTAAAAATCGTGATGGTGGTTACCTGACTGAATTTGTCAAAACTTTGAAATATACAATTAAATGGTCCATTTTGTTGTTGTAAAGTGCGCCTCAATAAAGTTGTGTTTTAGACAGGCTGGGGGCATTCAGGGTGCTATGATTGTAGACTAAAGTTGTTTTTTAAAAGCCAGGATGCTGGATCATGAGAAAAAATACACTTAAATAGTAACACATGTTATAAAGTCTCAGTAATTAAAATAGCAGAGCCATGGCACCGAAATACATAAAAATGCTAACAGCTGGGCATGGTGGCACAGGCTTGCAATCCCAGTACCAGGGAGGTTGAGGATTTCAAGTTTCACGCCAGTCTGGGATTCATAGCAAGACCCTGTTTCAACATAATATGTAAGAATTAATATAATAATGATAAAAATCCACAAACATACAAATATAAGATAATCTAGTGTGCCATAAATATAACGATTTAAGTTAGGGATTAAAAGAGGATCTAGGTTTCTTTGCTGCCCTGCTCATTAAATCGTTAATAAATATGTAATGTGAACGTCCCCAGAGGTAACCAGTGGTACCATTCACACACACACCAGGTATTACTTTATGTTTTTATGTTGTTATCAACCATTTCTTAAAAGGGTTTTGCTTTGTTTTGCCATTTCTGATGGTTTTTCATCTGATTTTTCTAATCCTCTGATTTTCTAGGGCCCAGAAGCAGTAGTAGATGTTAAGTTAGAGCAGGGATCCTGGATTTACTTTTTACTTCCCCATTCCAGAATCTTTATTTACTGTGCCTTAGCTTGTCCAGCTACAAAGTGGATTTAATAACTAGCATAGGATTTTCATGCAGATCCACTCAATGTTTAAAAGAGTGCCTGGCACATAAGGGCGGAGCTAAGTTTAGAAATAAGTTGTTCTCTGCCCTATGTGTGACTGGACTCTATGCTACTCCCAATTTCATAGCTGAGGAATTATGGGTCATGTAGGCCAAAAGATTTAATGGGACCTTATATGTGCTCAACGGTCACTAAATTTCTTCTCTGCATAGAGTAATACTATGCTGGCTCTGTGAGGCACAGTGAAGATGAATTACACTGAATCCGGTAAGAAGGGACTCGAAGGCATGTGGAGTGAAGGGTTCTGAGTATAGCCACGAAAGGCACCAGGCATCGTGGACAGTATGTGGACTATGAGTTTCCTGCTTACACTGCTAGAATTTATTTTTTCATCAACATGGGATCAGTTGTACTGCTATTTGAAAGCTGCTTCTTTGATCTAAAGAAACTAATTAAAGGGTCTAGCACGCCCTGGAATATGCAGTGAGAATTGAACAAATATCTATAAATAGATACTCTACTCTGTATCTCAGGGTCCACATTTGCAGGTTCAACTCACTGTCAATCAAAAATATTTCACAAAACTGAACGTGTGTATTAATTCTTATTGCCATTATTCCCGAAACACTATAGCACAGCTACTGTTTTCAAAGCATTTGCCTTCCGATGGGTATTAGAGATAATTTAATGTGTTTAAGAAGTGCATAGCTTGCATGTAAAGACTGACATTTTATATAAAGAATCCGAGCAGCTTCAGATTTTGGTATAGGTGTCCCGAGGGGTAGGGACTCCTAGACTCAATATGCCTCGGATACCAAGGTAGAAAGTGAAAAGTAAATGCTCTGGGTTAGATTCATACAAAGGGTCTTCATGCATGTAAGGAAAGAGCACTTAGATCTGGTTAGGAAAATCAGGTTGGCTTTTGGGAGAGCTGTGTTCCTCTTGATCTGACTTTCCATGCTTAAGTTGGTGTGTATAAAAAGGGTGCTGGAGGAGAGATTATTAGAGCTGGATTCTGTAGGATCTTGGCAAAGCGTTTGGACTTTCTTCTGCAGACACAGGGGAATTATTATTGACCAGTTTTGTAGAAAAGAGTGCTGACCTGACCCAGACTTCAGAGGATGGGATGGTAATAGAAACTGTTACCATGGCTTGCAGCATCCCACCCCGTGCTGACAAAGGACTTGCACAGGCAGACTCTTTTCATACAAGCAATGTCTCCATAGTGGGATATTTAAATAGTTTTTTAAGTTAGCATGCATAGCACAGGTTTAGTTGTGGGATTTTCATAATACATTGTTCTTACTGGTCCCCTAGGCTCCATCACCTGCCTTGCTGCTGCCCTCTGGCTGCTCTCTTTCCTCTTCCCAGTACCCCTCTCTTTTCATGTGACTACATTCCATTACCATCTTTCCCCCCTTCCTCTAAGGATCTCTACTCCTTCTGAGGTCCTTTTTCTAGTTTTATGACTTATCCCCTGTACACACACACACACACACACACACACACACACACACACACACACACAAATACTAAAGTATAGGATCTACGGACAAGAGAAAACATGGCATTTGTCTTCCTGAGTCTGGCTTTGCTTAATGTAATGATATCCTGTTCAGCCTATTTTCCTGCCAAATGTCATTATTTTACTTTTTTATGGCTGAATAAAGTTCTATTGGGTTATATATACCACATAACATATACCACATTAGATGTAGTTGCTTCCATTTCCTTCCTGTGAATACTGACACATTGAGTGTACATATACAAGTATCTCTGTGGCATGTTGATTCACAGTCATTTGGTTTGTACTTAGTGATACATCCAAGTCATATGGTAGTGTTCTCTCTCTCTCTCTCTCTCTCTCTCTCTGTCTCTCTCTCTCTCTCTCTCTCTCCCTCTGTTTCTCTCCTCTCTCTCTCCCACCCTCCCTCCCTCCCCCTCCCTCCCCCTCCTTTCCTTCCCTCCCTCTGTGTGTGTGTGTGTGTGTGTGTGTGTGTGTGTGTGTGTTTTAAGAAACCTCCATACTGATTTCCATAATGGCTGCATCAGTTCACACTCCTACCTGCAGTAAATAGTGATTCTGCTTTCTCCGTGTCCTTGCTGGCATTGCGGACACTTTTTCTTAGTGTTGGCCACTCTGATAGAAGTGTAATAGAATCTCTAAGTAGATTTCTCAGGATTTATTGATTATCATTTTATGTGTATGACTGTTTTGCCTATATGTGTGCACCATGTGCATGCCTGATGCCTGAAGAAGCCAGCAGGGGTGTCACTGATTCTGGAGTTATGGATGGTTTTAACAAGCTGCTATATGGATGCTGGGAAATAAAGCTGTGTCCTCTTAAAAACAGCAAGTGCTTTTAACCCCAGAGCCATCTCCACAGCTCTTGAAGTAGTTTTAATTTGCATTTTCCCAATGACTAGGAATATTAAGTGGTTTTCATATTTATTTTGATCATTTGCATTTCATTTTTTGAGAACTGTCTGTTGAATTCATTAACACATTGATACTTTAAAATTTTATTTTTGAGACTATAATGTATTTACAACATTTTCCCTTCCCTTTCCTTCCTCAGAACCTTCCCATATGCTTTCTTGCTGTCTTTCAAATTCATAGCCTCCTTTTTATTAGTTGCTGTTACGTGCAGATATATGTCTCTATGTTCCTAATTACAGCCTTCTCAATCTATATAACGTTATTTATATCTGTGTTTTCAGGGCTGATAATTGGTACTGATATCCTGTATCAATATCCATTTGTTACTGGATAATCAATTGCTGTGTTCTTCCCTGGGGAAGACTGCTTCTCCTGCCATTAGCTTTCCTTAGTTGCCTGTAGTTGTTTCTATAAGGTTGAGGCCTTAAGGACTCGCCCTTGTCTGTTGTCATTGTCCTGGTCCAACTCATGGTTAGGCAGTCGTGTTGATGAGACTTTATATGACTGTGACTTCTGATGCTACTGAGAAACAGAGTCTCACAGCAGAGTTCCCTATCATCCGGCTCTTAACATTTTTGCTGCCCACTCTCCCACAGTGTCCCCCGAGCATTAGGTGTGAGAGTTGTTTTGTAGATGTGTCCATTGAGTCTGAGCATGACAACTTTGCCTTTCCATGGTTTGTGGCTTTGTATACTGGTCTCCCTCTGTTATAAAGAGAAGTTCTCTTGGTGAGGGGTGAAGACTACACCTTTCTGTGGGTATAAAGGCAAATACTTAGCATGTGGTTAGGGATTGTGTTGACTTAGTAAGGTGATACTTGTAGGATCTTACCCTGTGTCCATGACTTCTCCAGTTATTTTACCCTACTTCTATAATTTATCCTCCTCCCCTCCCTAAATAGAACCCCCTTTTTTCTCATTTACCCAGCTAGACCAGTTGAATCTGCCATTACCCTCTCCTCCA